ATTTCGTTACATTACCATGCATAACGGTTTGAAACTAAAAGGAAAAGCTACAAGCTAAATAACATTTATAAAACGACCAAAGCGGCTTGAAACTATATGGAAAAGACCGTTGAAGAAGCTTACTTGTAATTGATCAGTAGTCAAAACTGTTCCATCGAGAAGAGTAACTTGACAAGATAGGCGATTTCGCGAAGGCTTTCTGTTCTGTTGCTGTCTCGGAGAACCCGCCGAACTCTCTGCATTTTCTCCTGTGGCACCCGCCATTGGTACTCGTTCAAATTCTATCGATTATGGCTCAAAAATCCAAGAAATCTATACCTAAACGGCGACGGGACACAACTATCGGACTCAGCGATGGTCAGACTCTCTAGATTTCAATTATGTCACGTGATGCGAATTAGAAGACTTCGTTTGCACCAATCATATGCGACGGCCTTGATAATGGTTATTTGTCGAGCGTGATCTAATTGGCTGATTCTCAGCGGGCTCTATTTCCCGCCACAACATGTCATGCAATTGTCATGCCCGACGTCAGTTTTGGTGTGTTTGCGGAAAAGGAAGTGGGTGTGTGAGTACTTCAGATGGAACGTAAATACTTCTGATGATGACGAAAGTGATAAATAACGCGCGTGCACCTATCAGAAATATTTTTTCTTTGCGTTCGAGAATCACCGTGCAATATTTTTCGATATAAAAAACGTATAAAACTTCTGAACATCGCCCTGACATCGCGTTGTTCAGCTCTTGCGCTGTTTCAATCATCACTCTAAATAATTGTTCAAGCATCTTTCCGAGAGGGTTAAACTGAAGTCAAATTTAGACAAAGCGCAAAATTAAATTTCTGGTAGACCAATATGTCTATTTTATTACCGGATCTACAGAGTGTGATGCCGAAAAACCCACTGACAAGCGGCGTCTTGAAGAAAAAGTCGGTTAAAAAAAATCACCAAAGTCGGTATTATAAAGTTGTCAGGTTTTTATTTAAATACAGATAGTTTGGACTTTCAGTCTCGAGGACAAATTAGGCGAACTACAAACAGCCCGAGGCTGATGTGTCTTGTGTCATCACTTTCTATCATGTCTATTTACAGTCTCCTGAATACCTAAAAAGGAATTCCAAAAATTTCCATATTAGCTCATATTCGAATTCCATAAATTCAAAATCAGTTAGCAGATATACCTTCCAGTTTACCAAAATGTATTGTATGAAAATAATAATAAATTATCATGATAATTTTTATATTTTATCTGAACTTGATTTTACAGTAAAGACATTTTTTTTATCTTAGTAAAAGATCTTGTCCCGGCCAAAAAAACATTTTATGGTTTACCACATGTTGGAGGGGGGTGAAATAAAAAGTGAAACTCAATAAAACGTGCTTTAGAAGTTGAGACTGAAATACTTCGGTCCAAAAATGTAACCAGGACGAGACTGGTGGTAAAGGTGTATAAAACAATTACAACATGGACGGATGTTATTCCTTTTCAATTAGTTTCAAATTTGTATAAAGTCTAGTACCATATATTTCCACCTGCCTTGCGGTCACTGAAATAGCATAGCTATAAATAAAGACAAGTCTAAAGCAACTATTGAACTTTTTTTTAATTAATAGTTTTTCAGTATTCACACAACACTTACAAAAAAAACTTACATTATCAACACTTGCATTAAAAGTTATTTCATTTCACTAATTACCTAGCTTTACGTTACGTTACAGTATTGAAATTTGATGGGAAGTACAGTTGTTTACACTTTCATCAGCTTCATGCAAAATGTCAAAATATCTCTTCACAAATTACCATACAAATTAAAAATGTTAGTTATATGAATTTCAAAACATCAGGAGCCCTGCAGGTAATGGGCTCCTGAAAACATATATTACGTCCAGACACGGGTCGAGGGCTGGCCATATACACTTTTTTCGTACCCTGGAGGGGAGGGGGGGGGGGGGGGGGGGGGAGAGGGGAGGGGAGGACTACCATATAAAAGTGACGGGGTGATCTTTGTACCTTTTAGGGGTTAAAATTTGCGGTAGGTACCGTTTAGGGTGTTAAAATCTAAATGATCACCGTTAGAGTTATCTCGGTACCCTTCAAGGCACTGCGCTGGAAAAAATATGACACGGAACTGGTATCGAGCCACGCCCACAAAATAAGATTATGGTACCTTTTTAGAGTTTTCTTTCAAATTTCCGACGATCACCCCCGTCTCTCTCGCAGTGCCTCTCTCCAGCCAGGAGTATAAATGGGTACTGGCGAATTGTCACAACAACCTGACAAAAGGCCGGAGGGGGTATCTGGGATGGACTAGCACTCCATCCAAGGGGGATTAGCAACACTCCTAGTTTGGCCTGACAAGACTCCCGGTGCATCTCCTCCCTCACTCTTTCTTGCTTAAAATGGGTGGGGGAGGGGGGCTGAGGGGGGGGGGGGGGCCTTTTCTTGCTTCATAAGGAGGGGAGGGGGGTAATTTATTTTTTGGCCCTTTTCAACAATATAAATGGGAGGGCCCTGGCTCCTTCCCTGGATCCGCTGCTGCACACCAACAATTATTATTTAGCACCAGTGGCTCACAAAATTAATATTCACTAGTTAACCAAAAATGAGCCACTTTTGAGAAGTATGTACACTCAATCTAATAATAAATTTCCAGAAAATAGTAGCCCAAGTAACTAAAATTTTCCAGCTCATCAGTCTCTTTTTGACTACTGGAAAACTCCATGCCGCTATATTTCATACACATAGTAGGTCTGGACACAGACTGGATTAAAATCTCACCCATTTGCAACCTCGTTCCCAGGGAAGAAGAGAGACCCTGGGAACGAGGTTGACCCATTTGACCAAAAACTGCTGGTTGAACTGAAAGTGTTAAAATTATAGCAGCGTTATGCAAAAATTGCTAGCATTTAGTTACCAATAGAGCAACAAAACAACTCAAAGTTTGGGAGGTCTTTTTTCTTTAATTAGTATTAGCTTTGCCATGGTTTGATCTATCTATAACGTTAACATAATATCAAACTAATCTATCTATGACTAGCAAGTGTTATACTTGGCATATAAATGCCTCCAATGACATAGGTCTTCCTAAAGTATACATAATGTATAATCCTATAATTTTCACCATAATTTAGTGTAGTACTCTGTAGGTTGGCATACACAGGGGGGAAAGTTTGCGAACAAATAATATGAAAAATCAATTAGCCTATGAATAGGCTCCGCGGTGGGGATGGGGTAAAAAGAAAACTGTGAGCGAAGTCTGAGAGAGAGGGAGGGACGATCGAACTCTCAATCAATCTCTGCAACAAGTTCCCTTGTGTGAAGGCAACAAGGGATAAATGTCCCCACAACATGCCCCTTCCCCTTCACGTACACCAACCTTTAATATTAGTAACTTATTATCAAATTAAATTTACTTGACCAGGCACGGATCCAGGAAAAAACGTGACCGGTTTCCTAGAGTCTGAGCGCTAAAGGTTTAATTTATCTTTTCACTCTCTAAAATTGTCATTCCCTCGATTTTGAGTTATTTTAAAAAATCTGACCGATTTCCGTAAACGGTGGAAACTGGTCAGGGATCCGCGCCTGTTTACACTGTATGTAAGTCAATGCTATACTGAGATAATTATGAAGGTGTCTTACAGCATGAAGATAATATGAAAATATAACTCTTATGAATGCATTCTGAAGACAACAAGCTTCTGTTTAACATTACAGCATAGTATCTGCATACATATGGGTCATCGGTATCATGATACAAGGAAAGCGCTGACTGATATTTGCTAGCAATAACCAAAATATTTTCCTGTGGATGTGTTACCTTCACTCTTATTTTGATCATGATATTCCTCAGATTTGTAGACTGCAAGCTGTCCCTCTTGTGGTTTCTTAAAGCGCACGCAAAGAATGAGCAAGCGGAAATGGGGCTGAGCGGAAGTTAGTGGAGAACAAAAGCCACTCAGCCCCATTTCCCCTCGCTCCAATTAACCAAAAGAGCCTGGACTGCTTGCACTCTAACAGTTTTGCACACAAGTTTCAAGAAATATCCAAACATTTCTTTTCACTCAAGTAATGACTATTCCAAAGTTGCCAACGCACATTACATATGGTGCTATAGTTGAGCCTCGCTATCTCAAACTTGGTTATCTCGAGTACCCCGCTATCTCGAACTCAAACCGATTCCCCTTGCCCTTGTTTTTCAGTCATTTATTACTATCGGCTATCTCAAACTGCTTTTCGTTTTCCTTGAGAGTTCGAGAGAGCGGGGTTCAACTGTATATCATTTTAACCTGTTAGCAGAACCACTTTGATCATCCCTTTCTCAATTTGTCTAGAAAAGATCAAAGTGGCTTGGCTAGGACAGTACTACAGTACTACAGTTCTGAAATCATACTTTGAATTCCTATTTCTAACTGATTTCCAACTATATTTTTTTAAAGCTGAATTTTTGAAAATAGAGTATTTTGAAAATATATTTGGCCTATCACTATCCCAAGTAAAAACACGAGGCAATCCTAAAGGTAACAGACGAATCCTAATTCTAAGGTAACCGACTAATTCTCATTCTGGAGCTAGGGTGAGGGGAAGGGCTGGGTTGTTTAGCCTCCCCCCCTCACTTTTCCAAAAAATCTCCTCAGTATCCTGCACCCGCACCTCTCCCCCCGCCCACCTTAAAATTATGCTCCGTCGTCTTTGCACTTTGTATTCTATTGGTTTTGATGAGATATACTTTTAAGTTTTAGATGAAAAACAAAAGTTTTATATGGCCTGCATTATAAGTGAAACGCATCGATTACTATGCAGTACATATTAATAATAATTATTATTATCACACTCTACATTCGGCGATAACTTCCAAGTCTTGCATGGCAGTTTGGGCAGGAGTGAATGACATCTTTGCAGCCATCCAAACAGAATGGAATCAAGCAACAACCTAACCAGCAGCTGTTGAGAAAATTGAGGGAAAATAACAAATTTAAACTTGAGCATAGTTACACATGTGGGACTCAGATGCGGTGTCCTAATGGTTAGCGCGTTGGACGCCGGATCGAGCGGTCCAGGTTCAAGCCCTGGCCTGGGTCATTGTGTTGTGTTCTTGGGCAAGTCACTTTACTCTCGCAGTGCCTCTCTCTGCGTTGTGTATTTTACAACAAGCCAGTCGTTAATTCGAGATGGCGAGACTAGTGTTTTTCTCTGCGAGCACGAGACGTTTTCACTTTTTAGATTGTGAGACTGAGATCAAGACTGTGAGATGGCTTTGTGAAAAATTGAGACCGCGAGATGTACAGAACTGCTAAAAAAATGAGACTGCAAGACCCGTGAAATTTGACTAAAATTTTGCGAGACCAGTACTTTTTGAAAGACCATTGGCCATGCCTGCTTATCATCCCAAAAAAGTACGATGATGAAATTAGACAAAAATAATCATTGTTACATATTTCAACATCCTTTAGTATATATTTATAATAAGCAATTGCAAATTATGAGGAAGAAGTGAAACTGAAAGTGAAACTCAGAAGAGTCAAATTACCCCAAGAGACAGAGAGCTCCAGCTGCGAGCCACGTTAATGTGCCATCTTGATACGTCGTACATGTAATAATGTGCGTCTGGCAGTGTGGGCAGACCATGCTAAGAGGAGACTCGCCAAAAGCCATGTTCACAATAATAGGACCGGGCGGTGAAATGATTGTTGTCGTTGTCGCTCCATGATGTAACACCAGGGGGAGGTGGGTAATGCTGAGGCTGGGAGGTAGGGCTGAGGCTGGGGGTAGGGCTGTGGCGGGTAGTCACCAGGTTTACCTGTTGCCTGGTACCCTCCTGAAAAAAAAGCAGAATTGTTGCATTGGCTAGCCTGAGTAAACAGACATTTCTCTCTGCATGGTGTAAAAATTCTTACCCCACTCTATAGGCAGCTGAGATTTGACCCAAAAAAATTCCACACAGGTGACGTAGTTCTACAGGTCTCTTGGATTGCTTGTTACCCGGGAGGAAGGGGTGTACTTGCGTCAGCTTTTTCCGGGTATGTACCACTGGTCTCCCAGAGCCGCTACCCCATTACAGTTTATTCTGTGGCCCCATCTTAGTCACTTTTTTTTAAACACGATCCCAACTTAGTCACTTTAATTGTGTTTATGCATCTACCTTGAATTGTGAACCCTTTTAACTACAGGTCTTCCTAAAAATACTGAGATAATTTAGCAGTTATTTCCAGAGACGCATTCAGCAGCTCCTGATTTCAGTCATTCAAGCTGTCTCCAGCTCTTTCAATTTCCAATGAGGCAGTTGTGTTGAAATGTTAAATTTGCGACCCCATTATGGTCAATCCAGTCGTGAAAATGCGACCCATCCAGCGGCACATCCCCATTAGCCTCTTACTAGAAAGTACCCCCCCCCCCCCCCTCCATGTTGTTACTAATGCATGCAAAAATTCAAAACCCAGCAACAACCAAACAGAGGTATGTAGAGCTACATTATCAGTACGGCATTTTTCTGGTTAAAATATCAGGCATCTCTCAGGAGAAGGGAAGAATAATTCAAGGGCGGGAAGACAGACATCTGCTGAGAGTAGTAACCAGACTATTCATAGCTAGCCTGTGTAGCGGTGTTGTGGGGTGGGGGAGGCACGTGTACTCGCTCGCACCTCCCCTCCCCCCCCCCAACGCTGCTACGTAGGCTAATTCATAGCCTGTTCCAGGCTCTAGGATATCGGGGATGAGCGAAAACTATCTGCCATCTCAAAAACATATCTACTAGTTCTGGCCCTCTCTCTGTCATGCAAAGCTACTCTTGCATAGCATGAAATATGGCACCAGAACTGGAGTAGAGGCATAAACATATCACAACATACAGTGTTTGTATGGGAAAATACTTCAATCCAATGTCAAAATATTGATTTATGTAAAAGTTGACTTCTGAAAATTCAGGACTAGTAAGAGGGGTCAGGGGTCAGTCTGCCTATTTTAAACTCATTTTTTCGCTCCTCCCTAAACCGTCCATCTCACATTTAGTAAGCCCTAATAATGCACTAGTCATTTCTATTTTTTTCTACCTGGCGGCAGAAGAGGTGTCAAACCCCCAGGGGATAACTCATGGAAAAAAAGAAACAAGCTAGGGGATCGACTGGGTGCAAATAAAGCCCAAAAAGACTAGTAAGTGTTCATATGATAAATATAAACCATCCAAATTAAGTAATTGTAGGAAATTGTGATGATTGTGAATCTGACAAATTTTCTATCTTGAATTTGCAGCTCTTTGTAACTAAGCAACTAAATGGCCACTGTGGTATCTCATCACCTATAAATTCAAATACAGTCGTCTGTAAAAAAAATAAACTGACGTGGAGATGAATTTTAATTTTATAAAGCGATACAAGCAGCTATTAAAACTTCAAGATAATAATCACTGCTAAAAAAAGACTCGTTAGGGTAAAGAAAAGTGAAAAAGAACTGGAAGGCTTCTGGCACGGACAAGTTTTATATTAAAATGATAAGCTATGCTTATCTGTTCATGAATAAATCAAAAGGAATATACGTAAGCTTACATAAATAGGGCAAAAGTACAAGGGCTTCACGTTTGCAAAACCCGTCCTGATTAATTTTAATCGCCACAAACAGCCACACTGCTGTCATACAACTAAAACGACACGCTATATGTCAGTTCTGGAGCTGAAGCAGTTTCGTCACCCTGCAGTTTCATCACAATTTTCTTGGAAAAGTAAATACAATAATAAGATTTAGATACCTCCAGCTGGATATGGCGGTGGTGCTGCATAGCCTGCATCTGTTGGGATGGCACCGTAATTGTACGGTGGAGGTTTACCTTCCCCTTCCATTACTCGTCTTGGCTTGCTCAATATCCGTCTTTTCCCGGAATTATTTCCTCTTTCGCACTCGCTTCGATCTCGTGACTCGAAAGGAAATCCTTTTAGTACCCAGGCTTCTGTCGCGGCATTACCCTCCCCACCCCACTGCGTAAAGAGCTGTCGCATTTCCTTCCGGTGCCATAAACAGGAAGGAAATACTGCAAGATATGTCTGCACTCTGTACGAAGGCTAGGCAAGCATAATAAATGTATAAATATTGAAACTACAAATTAAAAATTATATACTGCTGGAAATAAAACAAATCAATCTTTGGGAAGAAGAGAAACCTGCGGGGGTGAGGGGTAACAGCCATTTTTGTTCCCCTAAAATGTACCCATTCTTGTGTTATGAGAGGTCTTAAATATTTTTTGCCCGTGTGATAAATGATTTTGTCGCTTCACGACTCAATTTTTTGCTTGAGTTTAGAAGACAGACACAAGCAAACCTCTGCATGGTACAATAATATTACAGAATTACCAACCCCGGGTCCATTTCTCACACTTTATATTTATGGAGGTAATGCACTACACTTCTTGCTGCCTCATATCCAAAATATGACACCTTACTTCATTAGCAGCGATGGCGGAGTGTAATTATTTTTAAGTTGGGTGGGGGGTAGGGGGCGAGGATACCAAACTGGTCGACTAGTAATTTACGGTAATTTTGGGGGTTTGCACACACACAAGAGAGATGAAAGTTCATGTTGCCCACTTTGCTATCTGTCAAGTTATGTACTGGGACAAATTGAGGTTGACATATTTCTTCCACATTGCAAACAATCACTGAAGTCACACTTTTGGATACTTCACTGCAAAGGTTCATGCCGTTCCAACAAACTTCTTTCAAATAATTATTGCCCTTTTTCTCTCAAAACAAAACAGAATCAAGTTTGGGGAATCAACAGGATTTTCAAAAACAAATCAAGCCAACTTGACCATGTATTATACGGTCATAAAAGATGGCAGAAATTTGAGAACAAAGTGAAATTTAGAAAACACAAGCTGCAGGTCAGTGCTTTCTGCATTTCTCATGTTCTAAATTTCTGTCATGTTTTTATGACAGTATAATACATGGCTTTGGCTTCTTTGTACACATACATTTATACTTTATGAAAATAGATTTATAGTGCACAAAACAATAAAATACGGTTTTATACTCTAATAACTCAGACTGCAAAACAGCCATTATTTTCCTATCAAATTGCTGCTTGCAAAGGCGCGCAGCGCCATAAGCGTTGGAGCCTCACACAGGCCCGTGTGAGGCGAGAAAGCATCTCTCCCCAGTCCCACTCTCTGTTTTCAGACTCACTCCAGACCTTTCATTTGAAGACCGCGCGCATTTGTATGAATCGTAACGCAAAAAATACGACTGTTTTGCAGTCTAGATAAATCATAGCTTTTCAGGCTTTTTTGCCAATCAGAGTCACACAGAGTGTACATAAAATCCAATCTAGATTATAAAGAATATTTTAAATGTCAGCTCTGCAGCCAAACATGGGATTGGGATCTATTTTGTACAGAGTTTGAAAACAAGAGTCCACTGTCAAAAAATGTAAACATTTTTTTTATTCATTTGGCAAACAGACAAGTCAATGCCATATTTATGAGCCACGCTTGGTCTTGAAGTACTGCATCAAGACATCATGGGCTTGACCCTCTTTTCCATAGTCCTGTAAAAAAATGATAAATAACAAAAAGAACACTCATCAAAATGAAAAATATAAACTACTTTAAAAAAAGAAATTCTTGCTGAAAGTGCCTCCTCAGAATTCTCTATATCGATTCCGGTGATGGACATATCCTCACGGTATTTCAGAAGAGGGAGTCCTGCTCTTCATCATAGGATGGCACAACATGGTTATTTAAATGTACTATAAAGTACTGCAATTTTAATTCATTATAAATACTCAAAATAGTAAAATAGACCTTACAGCGCGGACACTCGAACCGTGAACGCTTTGGCTTTATTTTGTCTTTATTTTGTCTTTATTTTGTCTTTATTTTGTCTTTATTTTGACTTATTTTGTACTTATTTCAGAACTAGCCAATCACAGCCCGGATTCGAAGTAAAGGCCAAGACATTTTTTCTACCTTTTTTCCGCGTTTTTTATGATATAAACAAGAGCCAGAATGACATTAACCCATTGGCGCCTGGAGACTTTAAGCGCGCACCTACCCTAAATACCTGGAGATTTTACGGCATTTGACCGAAATGTGTGAA